CCTAGCGTTTCATTTCGTATCCCTGCGGCAAGCGCGAAAATGCTCCTACTCTAACACGATTTGTGTTTTTAAGCCTGTTAAAATAAGCATCAGCGTCGTTTTCATGTGCCCGCTATAAAATTGCTTTTGGTACATGTGCTTTTATAACATGGCCAAGATGTCACAACTAATGTTACAAATGAATAATGCTAATTTATGCTAGTTGTTCGTGGACACCTCTTTCACATTCTCGGTGAGGTTTTCCCTGCTCACTCTCGGGAAAAAATGCGGCGACGATCATTCCCTTTTTATGTGCTGTGCAAGCTACTATCATATAACACTAAATTGTGAAAATAGGTTATTCATTATGCCAGTTATTGCATGATCTATAGATGTGATCTGATGATCTCTACGGTATCTAACAGGGCTCATTCTGATAGCTCTTCGCTCATTGTTTGGCACTCATTCTTTTTGATAACCCCACTATTTCGGCTACTGTCGAGGGCCTTCAGATGGGTAATAGAGAGTATCGAGCGTGATCTTGATGCTGTGTTTGGTGATTAATAACACTCTCGTTAGGTTGATATATAACATCAAAACACCTTCAAGGTTATCCTTGAACTGCGTCACAACCACGCACAAAGTCAGGTCTTGCTTGGGATCGCAAATCATCTTTCGGAGGTCAAACCTAGCTCCATGCATAGGCTCCTTGGAAAAATGTCAATTAGACAGAGCGCGTAGTGTAAATCCTCCTTCGCTGACCAGACATTTATTATTAAAAAGTCCAAAATCCGTAGGAATCGTCAAACAAAGTTAAAACTTCAAAGTAGATATAGCTAGCTTAGCTGACCCACGTCAGCAAATAACAAAATGATAGGCATGAAAGATTGCAGGTGAGCAATATCTTTCTTGTTCCAAAACAAAACACGCACTTTGAATTTGCAAAGCAGTTGATTCTTCAACCCTTATTGTTTCTCCGTTAATTTCCTTTGTTTTCAGGAGGCGATCAATAGAGGGTGCCTTGTTGTCAACTGTTCTCAATGTGTCAAGGGGCAAGTGGATGTGAACTATGCTACAGGAAAGGTGATTTTTATGGGCTCTTTTAACTCTCTCGGTAGATAATTAGTTAGAGGCTCTCAGAAAGGTTCGCAAGACGCAAATTTCCCTGCAGTTGATAGGAATCCTTCTATTTTATAAAGCGCTAACTTTGTGTGTCGGTTTGTGTATCTGTATGTGTGTGTGTGTGTGTGTGTATGTGTGTCCGTCCGCAAAATGAAGTGAGTGAGAAGGAAGCTCATGGGATAAACAAACCGCTAACAAATCGGGTAGCTTACAGGATTTGAGATATCAATGTTTTGTAGCAGGATAGTTGTGATAACACTCTTCAGGGCTATATAAACACCTGCTTAGCACACTTCCGTTCATTCCACATGGTGCTGCAGTGGCAGCTGGAGGGCAGTGGAGGAGAGGGAGGAGGAGGGATGAGGAAGGGAAGCGAAAAATCTACCGTCATATCATGATTGTGTCCCTTCTACTGTATGAAACACCATTGTGTTGCATACGCGTCACTTCCACGAGGTGTTGGTGTCACAGGAGGAAGGGACCATAGCGGAGGATAGAAAGCTTGCGCAGGAAAGGAAGGTCCCGGCGGTTGACGGGGGACTAATCTGGTTTAATAAAAATATAAAACTAAAATAGCATACATTATACGAAGTTATACGACGCAGAACGGTTTTTGTATTATTTTATACATTTATTATTTATTATGTTTGTTTAGGTGCAACGCCGAAGTGCAAAAGCATAACTGTAGAGAAGTGCATGCATGCAAACAGAACTTCAAAGCAACACCCCCAGATCAAATTTGTGGAATCACAGCGGTCGATAACGTAGTTGTAGATGCCAAGTTGACTAAAAAAGCAAAAAAGAAGCGAAGAAAACCGTCGATGAAGCCCTAAACAAGTATTCTTCTCCTGAAAAGAGTGGAATCCTTGGGAAGAAAAGGATGGGGCCGGACGAGTTGTACGAACTTTCTGCTCCGCGGCTCATCTAACCCGCTTGTATTTAAATTAACCGCTACATCGTAGTATACGTGGCGTGTCATAAGTTGTGCGCGACGCAACTCGTCCATACGTTAAGAGTACTCGTCATCCGTTTTTTGTAACCCCTAGTGCCATTATCGCACATTTCGAGCAGCGATAAGGGCACATCTGTGACATTCCTGAGCTACTCTGTCGCAACCACTGAACAGATTCTCCAACATGACTTTTATTGGGGGCATTGCTTCAAGCATATGCAAGAAAATTCATAATTTTCTCTTCGAAGTAACGGTAGTATTCTGGTCCTGAATTATTTGGCTTTATCACCCATCTTGACATGAACTGTTGTCCCTTGAGAGTGCCTATGAATTTCGTTCAATCAAAAAAAGCAGCGAATAAACAGCATATTTCTTTGGAGGGATCTTCCTAAAACTCATCCATTTGCCCTCAGCCTCTTTCACGGTAGAACAGATTCCGCAGTTCCAAGTTTTCTGGTAAATCTCCCAGTATTGACGGCCAACCGTCCATACTCAAGAATTGAATTATCCCGATTTTTGTTCTACCTTCAATTGTTTCAACAACATCTATTGAATAAAGTGCCATGTCAGTTGCACTCACTGCCCTTGTCAAATGACTTTATTGACAAAGAGTACGCGTTCAATGGTAATGTTGTTTTCGCTGGCGCTATCTGTTAGAGGAGTTTTTTTTCTCATTGCCCTCATTGACCACGCCTACAGTCCACTATCGCTCTTTGTATTGATGCTTTCTGTATCTACTGATGTGCACCAGAATTATCTTCTTCCCTTTTTACCTAGCTGCTTGTCTAGTCGATTCCTCTGATACAAGTTGCGGTACTTCCTCTGATGATGGACAACTTGAGCATGATTATTGCATGATTCGATCTCTGAGGTGCGCAGTTGTACGGGTTCTGTCGACACTCTGCTGTACTAGCCAGAGACGGTCGTAATTAAGGAATACCTCTTCTACTCGAAGACCTTAATAGTCTAGGAGCTTCCTTTGCACAACTGCGCAACAGTGATTTTATCATGTGGAGAATTGGAACCTTCATGATAAAATTATTTCAGAATCCCTTAAGAACATTTTTTCAAAGCCTTTGAAGTGTTAGCTTGCTGATGTTGAGTCCCTACGTTGCAAACAGGTCTAGCTTCCTTTTGTCGACGATATCTCTGTTGGAGCCAAGGCAGGTTTTGGAAGCTGAGGTCATGAGTGAACACGGTGCCTGCTCTAAAGTCCTGGCTGTAGCGCTTACGCGTTCTCTCTTGGCGGATTTCTTGGAAGACGGACTGATGGGGTTTGTGTGGGGGCACTCCACTGTGCTTTACAATACTAAAGATATGAACACTATCGCTCATGATACGTAATCAACTCATTCAAAATATTACTTCTAGTAAATATCGTGCAATGT